CACCGGAAACTAACACTACACTGTAAACCGACCATACTAAAATTCAGCATTGTAACTAAGCAATCTGAGCTGAATATTAATTTTGACAGCGATGTGAAGGTGTTTTTGAGCAACGGTGGTAACACTAATGTTAATTGTGTGTTCACTTCGTCTAGAACTCTGTCATCTGAGTGCTTTGTGGGTCTGTTTTCTTGCTAGAGTTCTGAACCAAATGAGAGAGAAAACAAAACTGGTCACAGGAAGAACCGAATATCCCCTTTAGGACAAATGAAACCGTTGTCAGACGATGTCAGCAGCAGGCTTCAAACACTGAACCCTGGACGTAGACAGATTTCTGCATCCAGTCTATGGTCACGCTGGTCGGCTGTGAGATTTTCTGTTGAAGGGCAACCTAAGATGAGCAGAATGGAGCAGCAGCTGTGTGTTCTGTGGGCAGCTGATCCCAGGACACAGGGACAGAAAAGATCTGGGCTACCCTGCTCTAGCTCCTCTTCCAAAGTCATGGTCGGGGATATTTGAGGAAATTCTCTCTTCATGGAAATTGTAGAAATGGGCTAGAACTGTTCTTCATGGTAATGAATGTGTTAGCTCACTTAATTCTCATGGAAACCTTTTAGAGCGGATATTAATATCATAATTTTACAACACAGAAACAAAAGCCCAGAGAGGTGAACTAAGTTCCCAACATCACACAGCGAGGCTGTGGAGGGAGCGGCCTGGAACCCAGGCCGTCTGGCCCTAGATTTCCCGTTCTCACCCATCCTACTTCTCTAATCTTTGTTAGCTGAGCTTTCTTATCTGAAAAATGAAGGGATTAGGTTAGAAAAATCTCTAAGAATTCCTTTCAACTTTAAAAGACTTTTACTATGCCTTTAGGTTTATTGTAGAAGTATCTGGGTGTGTGAACTGTTTTAAACTCCTCAGGCGAGGGACAATATGGAACAGTATTATATACAACTAAAAACGACTATTTTGATGAAAAGTCGAAGTAGGTAATTGTAACCCAATTCTTCTCTCAATGTGGAAAACTTAACAGTTTAAAAAGGAGCGGACAGATGGAATTTTGCTAACATGTCCAAGGAGGAAATATGATTTCACATGCATATTACATGCAAGTTTATGAATGCAGTCATAGTGTCTGGAACCGAGGTAGGAAACTGTGATGAAAATCAATGAAGTAAAATATCAAAATAAAATATCGCATGACAACTCCTAATGGGGAGCAACGCTGGCGCCTTTAATAAAACCTCTGGGGAGCATTAACGTGGGACGTAAGTGGCTGAAGGATTCTGAGTTTCCCTGGTGATGTTCATATGTCACAAAATGCACGTTAGCTGGCAGCAATTCAAGAAGCGACGTGTGCAGCATGCCACTGTTGGGTGCCCATGTTGCGATCACTGACAGTAAATGGTGACGTTTTACTTTGTGTCAAATTAAGTAGACCCTTGAATTTCCCAAGAACTCACTGAGAGCAAAGATTTAGGATTATGATCTCACTAAGGATGGACTTGTGACTTGGGTAGCAAACTCGCCTTGTCTATTTGAAAGGGTGCAGGCATTATCCACATATTTCCAACGAAACTGCTTTTAATGTCTTCCTGGCAGCAGAGAATTTACTCCACATTTAAATATACTCTGGGCATTGTGGGATAGTAGTTTTCATTGAAGATTTAAAAAAAAATCACTTGAGGCGGGGAGGATGTAGCTCAAGTGGTAGATCATATGCTTAGCATGCAGGAGGTCCTGGGTTCAATCCCCAGTGCCTCCTCTAAAAATAAAGAAATAAACCTAATTACCTCCCCCACCAAAATAAAAGAAAAGAAAAATAAATTTAAAACCCCAAACAAAAGGCTGAACTTAAAAAAAAAATCACTTGAATAGTAAGCTTCTAAAAATGGCTTCAAGCCAGTACAAGTTCTAATTATGCAAGTTATTGTTCAAAGAACTTCAATTTTTATGTTAAACTCATTTGGGGGTTTGGCAAGATTCAGATACCTTTATTCAGGGCAATACATTTAAATTCTACCTGATGAGCTTTCTTCTCTTCTCCATCTAAAAGATTCAAAAGAAAGATGTTGCCTTTACTTATTAAATAATACATCTCTGAAGAGTATGACTTAAAAAAAATGGTGTTTCCTTTCTCCGGGGGGCTGCTTTGGTATCATGTGTAAGTACAGTTATAACACTCAGCTTGTGCCATTCTCCTCTTAATAGTATTACTTCCCTGAATTCTGCTGGCACCTCAGGGGTTATTTCTGAATAATTTTTTTTCTTTTTGCTTAAAAAGGGATTTTATGTGCCTGCTGGAACTTCACGGATACTTGCTCTTTCCAAAGGGTATGTGCGTGTGTTTTGGAATCATGTCTTCAAAATTATGGTATGGATGGAATGTTGTGATTCTTGATTTCCATAAGGAGTTGAAGCAGAGGAATGATTTCTTAATGACACATTTAATCTATATAGATATTATAAATTGCTTCTAATAATATGTTTACTTTACTGACTAACATCTCAGGATAGAGGACATGAATTAGCCGGGAGCAGAGCTGGCACGTTAAATAGGTAAATAGCAAATGTCGATGCTCTGGAGCAAAGCAGTTTAATAAACTCAGTAGAAGAGGGACCAGATTTTTTTGTTCATTGCAGCATTACAAAGTGTGGCCAAGTCCCTAAATGCGTAGCACAGAGTAAACTAAAATGATGTTCTCTGACTCTGAATAAATTGTGTGGACGCCTTGTTACATACAAATGGACAAGAAGTAGTGAAAATGAATGTATAAATACGTTGACACGTATTCAAAAAGTGCTAATAATGTCCAGGGCGTAGTGACCACAGAGATGCCAGGGAGGGCTGTCGAGCAGTGAGGTTTCACCTCCTGCTTATTTTGAGAGCAGTGGCTTGGACCGACGGCTCGTGCAGTATCCCCTGTGACTCCTCCGTCCATAAATAGCTTGCTTTGGGTCGGATTCCTTCCAATCAGTGAATGATGTTTGCGACGGGGCTTCCATCCTCATAACAACCCGCTGAAGTCAGGATTATAATCACCTTCATTTTACCCCTAAGCAAACCAGTACTCAGAGAGGGGAGGTCACCTGCCAAAGACCATCAAACAAGGCAAATACAGCTGCTAGGTGTCACACTCCTGCTGTGGTCCAGGCTCTGCGCTGGTCTCGAGGACAGAACAGAACAAAACAGGAGCCGGTCTGTACTTTCTGTTCCCGTATGTTCTTCTGGGGTAAACATGAATCTCCAGGTAACTGCTATATTGAGGCCAAGAGGAATACGGGCAGTGCTGCGTTGGGATGCCCTGACATGCAGAACGCATCCCCAGGTGCCAGGGAGGACTTCTGCAGGCAGGAGGTAACAGAGCTCCCTTTCTTGTGTGTACCTGGCTAGTAAAAATAGACCGTGTTCATCTGTAGTCTCTTAGCCCCGTAAGGCTTTGGTTCTGCACGACCGCCCTCAGGCTCACCACGGTGCTACGTGGAAAGCATCTCCTCTCTCCACTTTCTTATCACCAGAATCCACCTGATGTTTATTTTCAGGGCTGTGTTTAGGGGGCACTTAACCACCGTGCCAAGGAAAATACATACTTGAGAAAAACGCAGAATAATTTCCCAGATACATGGAATCCACAGCTGGTTGTTTATAAGATCAGGTTCTTATTTATACACTTCTCAATTTGAATAGGAGCCATCTCCGCGGCTGAAAAGTGTTCTGTCCTTTGGAGATGTTTTAGCATTCGGAAGGTCAGTATTACATGCACTTTCCAGTCACGAGGAAAGATTACATGGGTTTGTAGCGTCAGCTGAGCCATCTGAAGATCTGACTTGACTTAGGAGTGGATGTGCGTGACATTCTTGGTCAGTTACAGAAGCTCCGGGCGGTGGGAGTGGAAACCAGGATACTGTCTGCCCAGCGGCTCTTTTCTAGGAACATCCCCTTCCTTCTGAATTCACCTGGGTGTTCAGTCAATGTCTGACAAGGTGGACATTTATTTGCCTACTTGTTTATTGTCTGTCTGCTGCATTGGAATGTAAAAACGTTATGAAAGAGGAACTCAAGTGTGTTCATTGTGTTATCCCAGCCCCAGAGGAGCCCGGTGCGTTGAAGGCAGTAATAACAATTTCTTGACTCAAAAGAGAAATGAAGAAATGCTTCTACTGCTCAGCATCTTTTGAGCACCCTTCTTACATCGCGGGGAGCCCTCCTGCCTTGAGAATCGTCCCTCCTCAGGGAGGCAAGTCAGATTCAGTACTTGCTTTCCAGGCAGGTTTCACAGGAAGTTGAGGACCCGGTACATAAGACAGGTAAACGGAAGCTGATCAGGTTGAAGGGAGGTCAGTGTCAGACCCCTTAACTTCCCTTCCCTCACATGCCTGAGGCCCCTCTTTGAGTCACTGAAGCAACACAGAACGTGAGAATTCACTGACAATTTAACTACCTCCTTGCCTTGAGGAGAAGATGCTCACATGGTAAAGTCTGAAGGACACACATTTAGTGAGAGAGTAGCAGTTAGAACCTGAGTGTTTCTACGCCAGCCTAGAGTTTTTACACTGCATGATGCTACAACCTCAAAATTAAAAAAAAAATCATCTTTGAAATTTTTTTTTCTGGGCACTGTTTGAGCAGCAAAAGCAATAGTCTATTTAAGTTTCATTTTTACAATGGAAAAGTCTCAACCAGCTCGATCCCAAACTTATTTCCAGGGGTGAATTTGAGAGTACCTTAAAAGTTAACACTTTGTGCGGCTTTTAATTTAAAGATGGAGAGCATCTTATAAATCTTTTCCTTAAAGAGAAAATCCTGCTTCAGAATTTCCCACCAGGATACGGTAATCGAAGTGCTACACATTATACTCGTAAAATTCAAATGCACTGGAAAAAAAAGTCACACGTTAAATCTGTCTAGATGTATTTATCCTTTTAAAAGTCTAATAAGATCCAGTCAATGGGACAGACATATGTTTTCCTATCTTGTCTCAGTGTCTGCACGTGTGTCTTCCGTGGCTGTGCGGATATAGCAAAACAAAGTCTTTCAATTAGAGAAATGAGCTCCTTCATTTATAAGGCCAAATTCAATTAGATTGATATTAAATAGAAGATCTAATTGCATTTGACCTAAATTCTCCAGACTTAAAGAACGAGCCATGATACGGAACATATACTTCAGTTCCCGTTTCTTCCCATCACGGTTTGAGCCATTTACAACTTTATTTGCTGCAGTTACCTGTCTTGGTGTGAGCTCTTATGGAGAATCCAAAAATCACAGCCATGCATTGTTGCCAGGATCCTTGATTTCCTCCTTTCTCTTTTGCAAACGATGATGATCTGTGTTCAGTGATTTGGAAGGCTGCGTTTTATGACTCAGCTCCCAAAGGGCTATAATTTCCCATAAAATTGCTGTCCACACTAGGACCACAAAGCAACTCCTCCCTTCTGTCGTGATTCCTTAATCGCCTATTCCCTTTATAACCGTTAAAATTTCGTTAAAGCTGTATCTTACTGGAGAGTCTTTAAATTTTTTAGGGGCTATTGGTAAAGTGAATAGAAGAATTTATCCTCCAGTGAATTTACATTTTATTTAGTTCCAAAAAAGAAATGAGCTCATCAGGGATCGAGGACAATTTCATGATCAGTGCATCATCAACTTTCTTATTATTGGTGATAGGAAATTATACAACTGGGAAAATAGGCTTAATACAAGGCATCCAAAAACGCTTCTGTTGTTCCTGGTGTCAGCTGCCTCCCACGGCAACACCCGTGTCCTCACCTGTCCCTCCCAAGGGCCCCGTGGCTGCCACCGTGGGCCCTACTGTGGGGGGAGCCCTGGAAAGGTACATGGAATTCTCAGAGACCGCAGCCTGGCTGTGTTCCAGCTTTCACACTCTGGTCTGAATGCTCCCATTTCCCCTGAAAACCTAGTTTTTTACTAGATCTGAAAAGGTGAAGTGTCTCTCAAGAGGCTTCTCCATCCCCTATGTCAAGAGATGAATATTTCTTGGGTTAATAATTTTGACATCTATGACAAAGTAACCAAGGACCACTGTATTCAAACAGTAGTTACCGTGACATTTGTATTGAATCAATTAACTGTGAAGTCCCATTGGGCCATAATTGACCTTTCTGCGCTTCGTTTATTGGACTATAAAATGACTTTCAGTCTGTAGTGTTTGGGTATTTATAAATTATATGCTGTATAAGTGTTCGTCCAGCCATTTTTCAACATATATTCGTTGAACTTTAATCTGCGCTCGGTACTGCCACTCAATGCCATTCCAACCTCCATCCTTGCCCAAGTGCCTTTGCTATTGGTCGACATAAGGACCTGATATTCTGCCATGAATAGTAAATTTGGTTTTAAAAATGTCGTCTAGCCCTAGTTTTTTCAAGGCGTTTTTCAAAGATTAAGCAAGCTGCTTAATCTCTTTCCATGTGTCTTAGAAATGCTTATAGAAATGGTTGCCTCAGACGAGGCCAAAGGGGCCCCTGACCTGGTTCACCCTTCAGAGGACCCTGTATATCATAAAACCCCTTCAGTTCCAAGGAAGTGCTTTTCCACTTTTCTTGCTCTGTGTCCATGAAACAAAAGACTCCATTGTCCCAAAGCCATGAAGGCTTGTGGATTTCATCACTGCCAATGTCAGAGACAGGCACAGCTTTGAAAGCATAGGATGAAAATACGTAGGTGGTGCAAAATAAATTAATTTGCGTATCCTTTCTATCCAATAACATTAATACAACACTTCCTTGAATCACGAAGTATTTGGGTCCCAGGAGTGCTGTGTGTCTGTATCCCTGTCCCTTGTTGCTAAGGACTGAACCGTGTCCCTCCAAATTCAGACGCTGCAGTCCTGTCCCCTGCAAGGTGACTGTCTTTGGAGATGGTGCCTTGAAGGAGGTGATTAAGGTTCAACGAGGCCTTATGGGTGAGCCGGGATCAGGCAGGCCCAGTGTCCTTATAAGAAGAGACAGCAGACTGAGCTCGCCCCGGCTCTCTCTCCCTCCGCGAGGGCTCAGAGAAAAGACCACGTGAGGACCGCAGCCAGAGGCATCTGTCTGCAGCCAGGAAGGGTCCTCTCCAGAAACCGGGCCCTGCCGGACGCCGAGGTGGAACTGCCAGCCTCCGGAACTGTGAGAAACAGATTTGTATCGTTGCAGCCACCCGGCCCGCGTTTTGTTATGGCAACCGGCGCAGACTGCCGGCTTGTGTTCTTACTCCTGGACCTGGAGATTATCATAAATTTGGGAGGTGGACACAAGCTTTGCACCCAGTGAGCAGCATTTTGCAATGGTAACTAATTCACAGCGCCAGCAAATACGTATGTATAGAGAAGTCTAGACGAAACATGGCAAACATGACATCAGTTTGCTGAGGTGTAATGGATGAATAAAATTGCGCAACGTGTGCGACGTGATGATTTGATATGTGCATACATTACGGAATGATTTTTATAGCCAGGCTGATGAACACAGCCATCACCTCATGTGGTTTCTTAACCACTGAAAGCTGTTCCCCTTTGACCAGTGTCGGCCAATTTCCCTCAGCCTCCAGCCGCTACCAACCACCGTTCTCCTCTCTATTTCTATGAATTCACTTCTCACTTTTCGATTCCATACGTAAGGGACACCACACGGGTGTTTGTCTTTCTCATGACATTGGTTCTTTACCCTGGCAGCTGGGTGGACATTGAACAGTTTGATCGTGATCGTTTTATTTTGATAAAAGTATTTAATAAGACGTAATTATATTTTCAAAAATTAAACTATAATTTCAGTTTTATTTCTAGCTTCCGATTTAAAGTTTGATATTGATTATTATGTCCATTTTGCCATTTCACTTTAATATATTATTCTATATCAGAGGAAAAATAGGAAACATGAAAAGGAGTTTTACATTTGGAAAATTTTTACACTTTGAAAACGGTTGTTTTGTTTTTTAACCCTTTAGATCATGGGTCAGCAAACTGTGGGTCAAATCTGATCTGCCGTTTGTTTTATTTAAAGTTTTATTGGGCTACGTTCATGCCTATATTTTTACGAGCTGTCTCTGGCTATTTGCAGATAGCTGAGTAATTATTGCAGATACTGTATGGCCACAAAGCCAAAAATAATTATTATCTGGCCCTTTACAGGTAATAAATAAGGTTAATGCCTGTGTTAGATCGTTTAGAATGTTTACAATTTGAATCATGAAAAACTATAAAATTCCAAGGTAGAACTTAAAATAGGATAAAAACTAAAAAGCAAGAAGAGACAGAAGTTTTTCAAATTAACGCTTCAAATTTAAATCACTGGAAGCCAGGAAAGTGAGAAGACTTCTGTACAGCATGGCCCATATAAAATTTGCAAGCAGGAAATTTCTTTATTTAAAGAAGATTTACTGAAAATAAGCAAGGGAACTTTTCTCCTTGAATCCACAACTGGAACTGGTCAGCTATGTCAAATTCTCATTAAATGAAGCCATAACCACTGATCAAAATGATGAAAATGAAAGAGAGAATGATATCAGATTCATAATTCAGAGACAGCTAATATAACTCTTGTGTGCTTGTTAGCAGTTGAAGAAAACTGCATTCATAAAATCTGCAAATTGGGGAAGAAAGTCATAGCCCCTGGAACCTGACTCTGTTTATTGGATGGGGATTCTGGAAAATGGCAGTCATATCCTGACACGAATGCGAACGCTTCTAGCAAAGCACAATCTGATTCACATCAGTGGTCACAGTTTTCCATCGGATAAAACAGCAGAAAATTTATATTTCATTTTTTATAGACAGTCTTTTTAGAGCAGCTTCAGGTGCACAGTAAAATGGAGCAGAAAGTACAGAGATTTCCCCTAGACCCCCCTGCCCTCGCACATGCACAGTGTCCCCCATCATCAGTGTCCCCCCAGGAGTGCTAGGCTTGTTCTAATGGGTGAACCTCCACTGACACATCATTCTGGTCCAGAGTCCACAGTTCATGTCAGGGTTCATGCTCGGTGTGGCGACATTCCGTGGGCTTGGACTAATGCGTAACGACATGTGTGCATCATCACTGTGTCATACAGAGCGGTTTCACTGCTCTGAAAATCCTCCATGCTTCGTATATTTCACTTTAAACCCCAATTCTTTCAAACCAGCTGTTACATTCAAAGTTCAAAGTATCTTGTTGCTACCGTTACGTATTTCCCAACCAATTGGCTTTGACCAATGAAGACACTTGTGACTGGACACACATCCTTGAGTAAAAGAACATGAAATATCACACGCCCACAAAATTAACAAATACTAGAGCAACAACAAAAAAGACAGAATAAGTGACAGTTGATATTTTTCTACAGAGAAGCAATTCTAGAGCAGAATACACACAACATTGTTACAGTGTCCTTAAAAGAATATTAAAAGATGATATCATGTGTCTGATATGAGCACAGTGATGCTCATTGCAGCTCTCATTTTCTTCAGCTTGACTGAAGTACGAGAAACAAAATTGTGAGATGTTTAAAATCTGCATCGTGATGATTTGATATATGTATATATATTGTGAAGGAATCCCTCCCTTCCAGTTAACACATCCATCAACTCACACATTTGTACATATAATATATATTATACATACATACGTACATATTTAAACATTTAAATTCTATTCTTAGCAACTTTCAGTTCTACAGCAATGTTATGAACTACAGTCACCATGTTCTACGTTGGATTCTCAGACTTTTCTCATTTTAGAGCTGAAAGTTTGTACCCTTTTTTATGAACTTCTCCCTAGTGTTTATACAAAGCATGAAAACATGGAAAAATTTTGAATTTAGTGGAAATAGTTTCCAAATCTGTTAATAGAATGGCTGAACATGTAATATAAATGAACAAAAAATGATGCAAAATAGGACTTCACTTTCAGATGGAGAATTCAAAGTAGATCATTAACTTATTGGTAAGGAAGTCAGAGAAGAAAACACAGAAAAAAGCAAATGTTGTTCAGTTTAACTAGATTTCAAAAATTATGTTGAGATGCTCCAAATAAAAATCAAACTGTGGCTTTTAGGGAAAAACAAGTTATGAATTTAATTTTGAATGTGGACTCTCCACAGTGCTCTTAATAACATGAACAAAAGATAATGACCAACAAGACAGACAAGATGTGCTTGGCTACTTCATGTTTAAAAGGATTAAAAAACTTAAAAAAAAAAACCTCTGAGAAAATGATTTTTCCAAGCTGCAAGCAACTAATGGTAAATACATAACAAATGTGATATTTCATTAAAATAGAAGGAAATGGCAAGAAGAAATGAAAATATTTCCTGACCATGCAGAAAAAGATTCATGTACAAACACTTCCAAAATTAATTCCTATAAAGAATGTTTTCTGGCCATTAGAAAGCAAGTTATGGTCTCACCTGAAGAGAGATTGGAACAAACTGAGCAAGTTGAATCCCAAACTGCTATTTTTAGTTTTCTTTATACTATCCCAGCATTGATGATTTTAAAAGAAGAAACTGAGAGATATTCTGTGACTCTTGATAATTGCTTTAAGATACTTTGAAAGTCCGATAAAAGTGATGGACATTTATATCTTGTAATTAAACTATCTTGTAATGTTTTTGTGATAATAATTTATCACCAGTATCTCAATTAGACTGTTTGAACAAGATGTATTAATTTAAATATTCACTTCTGAATCTAAGTACTGCTTTATAATTTTGATTAATGATTCCAATTGCTACTGTCTCAGAACAAAATTTCTCCCTATTAATGAATTAAAAAAAAACTATTTAAAAATTATGAGGGCTCAAGAAAAATCACATGATTTGGCTGCAGATAGAAACTGACCATGTGGAAACTATGACTGTAACAATGTGAGTGAATTTGCAGACATTTTCTGAGATAAATATATAATTTAAAAAGTTAATGGTGATAGTTTTGTGTTTTATTACCCCCCTAAACATTGCTGGCCCATCAGCTGAATCCCCAGATGTGCACAATAAAAGTCAAAGCCAGTTTTAAAAAAATATGTTGCTTACTTTCAGTCTTCTTCCAAATTACAGCTTTATATGTATTTTTAAATTCTGTTGTTAAGAAGATATATTTGTTAAAGGAGGAGAATAGAACATATTATATTTTATTTAGCAGCTTGTTAGCTTGCTGTCAAACTTAAATATTTAGACATGTGTGTGTGGTCTCCCAGGGTCCCCTCAGCTCTTGGGGTTGGGGTGGTCCCTCCAGCCTCATCTTCACGGCTTGTTATAAGGAACATTGGATGAGATGAGACCTGAATGGCTGCGGACAACAGAGGAAGTGATGCTGATGACAGAGGAAGGGATGTTGATGAAAGAGGAAGTGATGTTGAGGACAGGAAGTGATGTTGAGGACAGAGGAAGTGAAGTGCCTGCATCCTGCTGTTGCCACACTTCCGAGGGTCTTTAGTTGCTGTTCCTAGGAAGTGGGGATATTTCTCCACACTCGAACACCTCACTATTTTCTTCTCACTTTGATGCCATCTATCTTCTTGACTCAAAAAGATGTTTTGGTTTTGAATGAACCCACCTCTGTAGAAAATCCAAAGAAATTTGCTCATGGATTTTTCCTACCCGCTTCCAGGGAGGATAAATGCCTGACCTTGGAGGAGAATCAGCCATCTGTCACCATCCAGACCTATTAAATTTAACGATTTATTGTAGCAAAGACTATGCTGTTATTTTTAAACAGTTATTGCATATCTTATACGCCAAAGTTGTTAAAAAATAACAGAGGACTATTATCTTGAATGTGGAAAACCAAATCATTTTAAAAAATGTGATTAAGTCGGTGAAGCTGGACATTTTAAGTGCACATGGCAGGCAGTGTTCCCCGGGAACGTTCTCAGCATGTGTCCAGCGATGTCAACAAAACGTTCAGATACAGCTTACCTTCTCCCTGGCATTCACTAGCATAGCGAAGGAAGCAGGAACTAGCCACATTTTACACAAAAACACTCTAGCAATCTGTGTCTGCTTATATTAGCATCATTCAATCTGTGGGTGCCAACTGCGTGTGTAGAAACCATCCATTTTTAGGCCTGTCATCAAAATATGGTCTTCATTAATTCCTGTTTTTCTCAGCCTCACCTTACTCCTTGAACCCATCCAGGTAGTTTTTAAATGCTGAGGGTAATTTTAAACTGAGCAAAGTCACACACACCCAGTTTTTCAGGGCTTAAGAATAATCAAATGAAAATGACAACATTTGATATTTTGTCAATTTGTTTGCCTTTAATTAACTTGTAGAATACCACAAATGCAAGCTTGGCTGGACCTGTGGAGTTAAAATCCACATTGTGAAAAAAATCAACCTTGAATGTCTTGCCAGAGATATTTAGAAATGTATTTCTCACAAGATTAAAGCTGAAAATCCAAAGTAAGTGCAGTTTGTTCCAACAGTGCAGTTCAGTGAAACTGTTATATCGAACATTTCCTTCTATATGACATTCATTAAGATAGGAAAGACCTTATCTAATGCCTCATAAAGTGATGTTTTTTTCATATAATATTTCCCTGTATGTAATGTTCAAAAAGTTCAGCGCCCTGGAAAACATTACAAAGGACTTTCCTTGTAGATCTGTGCTTCTTATTAAATTTATTTTGGGTTGTCCTTCCAGTCGGCATTTTATAGCTCTTCACAGATTCGGTCAACATATAATAGGAGTGGAAAAGGCTCATAATTTGTCTTTTAATTCTATTAATAGGAAGCAGCAGGAGAAAGCTGACATTTCTAGATTGAAGGTCCTTGAGCTCATAACTTGGTTCTGAGAAACCTTGTCACACTCTTTGTAACTCATGGTGATGCTTTTGTAATATACACAGTAGCAAACCATTATGATGTCCGCCTTCCCCTAATACAATGTCATGTGTCAGTTACATCTCAAAGAAACTGGAGACAAAAAGAAACTGACAGTGTGATGGAAGGGACTAGAAATGCAATTTTGTAGCTTATATTTTTTTTCTTAAGTTAAATGACTCCAAGTGGGTAGGTGATCAGTAAGCTGATAAACTGCAGTTTGGGGATTTTAGCAGGATGGGTTCCCAGGGAAGCTGACCCTAAAAGAGAGAATGGGACGCACGGCATTTATGACAGTGTGCCCTGCCGAGAAGCACCTGTAGGAAGAGGGGACAGAGCAGGACTGAGAGACGAAAAATCAGGCTGCAGTGAAGTTCCAGTAAAAGGCCTTGGGCAACCCCGCGATGCAACACCGGGCTGTCCCTTGAGGCTGGACCCTCCCATCCTGGCATCGGATGCAGATGCCCTGGGAAAGGAGCATGACATTGGGTCTCCCCGCTCTTTCAAAACAGAAAAGGAGAGAGGTCATTGCCACTCTGGGAGAGAGCCCCAGAGGTGGCGGCCGCGATGGCAGTGCTGGTGGTGTCAACAGTGGGGGTATCACTTAGGGCAGTGGCATTGGAGATACTGGCTACTGAATAGGCTGGAAGGCTCCCTGGGGCCAGCAAGGAGAGGCTGTGTGATCTCACTCATCATGACCCCCAGGCCTCTCTCTCAGGGAGCTCGCCATGAGGTTCTGCTGCAGGAAGAGTCTGTGGTTAAAAACAATGACAGCCCATGGCTAACGTCCTCTTGCTTCCAAGGTTCTCTACCACTGCCTGGCAGTGCCTGAAGCCCCAGGATTAGACATCCTTGAAGAATATTTACAGTGTTCAAAAGCTTCTTGCCAGTCTCAGATTTAAGACGTGCAGTTTTGAAAATAGGAGAGCAACCCAAACAAAATAATTCTTAATTTTGCTGAAACGCATAATCGGATTTCATGGTCTACAGCCTCTGTATGTCCCAACGGGCAGTCAGTTGCTGGTTGAGTGACTACTCCAAGGTCAGTGTCAACAGCTCAGACCCTCTTTGTTTGCTGCTCAAGGCTATTGTACCCTTTCAGTGAATGATCACATATTCTCGGGTTGGGGTCACAAACTCAAATGCTTGCAGGAGCCTGGGAAGCAACTGCACATGCGTGGAGACAGCCGGGTGGACAAAGTGGTGAACCAGTGAGTTTGTGTCCCTCCAAGCACAGAAGCCTTCCCGAACTCCAGCGGACGATGCCAGGTAGGAATACGGGGCTGTTTTGAAATCCAAATTTTTTACATGAACTCCCCCCACCACCATTTTTAATGTCAGCCTCCTGAAGGCCCAACAAAACACATTTGCAAGCCAATTCTAAATTTACTTTTCCTGTCAAATAATACCCCACCATTTGAGCCAGGGTGAAGAGTTTGGAAATCCAGCTTTTACGAATGCCGAGGGCTCACCGTTCAATATTTTAAGAGTTCAGTTTAGTTTAAATACGTGCTTGCCCCTCACAGCCATTGGGCTTTTATTCCTGGGACAGGACACAGAGGAAGAGGATGCTCACGGAGTAACTGAAACAAACTTTAGCAAGTGTGAATTCAAGGCTGCGAGTGTGTAGCCTGGGGCCAACCAGAGACGGTCTTCTCTGTGCAATGACTTGTCATCGCTTCCATCCTTTCACTAGCCCGGATACCGTTTTGGGAAGCCAACCTCCCGTGGGAGACAGCAGATGCAAGGTTCCTGAAGGGAAACAATTTGCCGTGAAAATGTTGTTATCCAAGGGCTGCGGTTGCTGGACGACAGGTGAGGTGTTTGTATGGTCCGCTCCTGGTGATCTCGGAGCAGGCTGCTGGATTTTCATATTAACTCTCCCTTCCTTTGCTTCCCCTTTGACTATTTTATTGCTCGGACCTCTGCCAATTGTAAGCCCGATGGACAGAACCGTAGGACGTGGCTTCACCAGCAATACTTTTAAGAGTCAGGTGGAGCGGCTCTTGGAATATAAGCCTTAATTTGAAGCTTGGGTTTTGGACTTTTTTTTGTTTCTACCACTTCCTGCTAATCCTGCTTTCATTTAAGTAGCCAGGGAGGACTAGGATTTGTGTTTCTTCTCTTTCCAAAACACCCAGGATTTCTGGTGTTTTGCCTTGAGAGGGGAAAATGTCAATCTTTTTATAGGGAAAGTGGCCAAGATTAACAATGCTTATCGGTGAGAGCTAAGGAAAGGGTGGGGGCCTGGAGGAGACGGTGGCGTCCCTGACAAGTCACCTCGCATCTCCAGGCCTAGAAGACCAACAGGATGGATGGGCAAAAATCAGTGATTTTCCTATTGTGCTCTGAGGAGCCCTGGGGTTTCTGCCAAGGGCCTCAGAGGAGCTGAGGACCGAGTGCATCGCCATCCATCATCAACTCTGCTTCCATCTGATAGACATTCATGCTGCAGGCAGTTTGAAAACCACAATTGTTAATAATCATTTTAGAAACATTTCCTCATCCTGGAACCTCCCTGCTCATATGTCCCCATGCACTGTTTTTTTTTTTAAATGGAAGTACAGTCAGTTTACAGTTTTGTGCCAATTTCCGTTGTATAGCATAATGTCCCAGTCATGCATACACACGTATATATTCGTTTTCATATTCTTTTTCATTATAGGTTACTGCAAGATATTGAATATAGTTCCCTGTGCTGTATAGTACAGACTTGTTTATCTATTTTATTTCTAGTAGTTAGTATCTGCAAATCTCAAACTCCCAATTTATCTCTTCCCATCCCCTCTGGCAACCATAAGTTTGTTTTCTAAGTCTGTGAATCTGTTTCTGTTTTGTAAATAAGTTCATTAGTGTCTTCTTTTTCCTGTAGATTCCACACGTTAGTGATCTCATATGGTAATTTTCTGTCTCTGTCTGGCTTACTTCACTTAGAATGACGCTCTCCAGGTCCATCCATGATGCTTCAAATGCCCTTTCCATGCAACCTTTCACTTTCTGTCCTTTCGATGCAACTCTTTGCAGCAAGCTGTTCGTACATCTTCTCTTATGATGGAAGTTACTTTACTTACTGTTGCAGTAATATCAAAAAGCAAGCAAGCCTCGAGAAGAAAATGACATCTTCTAATTTACAGTGTAACACTGAAATCAGGTATCAGTGAAAAAAATTAAACATATTTCTGATTTCAGAACACCCAGGTATTGATTTTCACTTGTCTTGAAAACCACAGTGAAAGGAAACTATAAAAGAGGAGAAAGAGACATTTCAGAAATAATGAAGGGCTTACTCTGGCTCGATTGCCTTTATCTTGGAACCAGGTTATTTTCCAGCGAAGGGTCATCAGACTTGCAGCTAAAAATAGTGCGAGGAGTCCACATTCCAGAGAGTCTGCCTGCGACAGCAGGGGAGTTCCATGGCTTCTTAGGTTTGTAGGCGGAGGTGAGCCTGGGAAGGTCAGGTTTATACCATCAGGAGGAAGAGTTATGTGTGGGAGAGATGAGTAGGGTATGGGTGAGCTTGGGGGAGAACCTCTGCTTTCAAAGGACACGCAGAGAAAACAAGGAGACCCTTTGCCTTGGGAGGCTCAGAACGGCCTAGAAGTAGTGATTTTGTAAGTCGATGGCTTTCTGGAAAAAAACAACCGAGTCTATTGCATAAGACTTTTGTGCTAAGACAGAGCAGGAGAATGCCTCCCCGGGTGAGCACTCACAGTAGGAGCGGGGAGGTCTGACATCCCTGGAGGGAGCCAGTCAGACACTGAGTTGAGGACCTATGTTCTCTGAGAGCCCCGGGGGACAAACCATTCTCACCCACATTTCCATGAAGACGAGGATTTTGGAAGAACTAAAGCATGGATTTCAGCCTCTATGTTTCAAAATAAAACGTTGAGTGTTCAAAGGGCTAACATTTTCTTCTCTGCGTCGAGGCAGACACTGACGTCACAGCCAGCACTAAGTTGTCCTGACGGCTTCTTAAACTGGATCTTGGTTCAGATGCTGTCGCTCAGGGTTGTCTGTCTGTCTGTCTGTCTGTCTGTTTGCCAGCAGCGAGGGGACCTCCGTTCGTGTCCCCGTCGGGACTGTCTGTGGGTGTGCTGTTGGCAGATTCTTCCAGAGGGCGTGGGAGAGGGAAGGCTGCCTTAACCAATCACGTTTTGTCTACACGAAACTGCCGAATTCAAACAACTCTCAGAATTCAGGGCTCCACGAAGCATTCTCGATAGGTATTAGTTATAAATGGGGAAAAAGAGTTAAGAAAAGGGTAAAAGGAAAAAAACCCACAACTCTGAGGAATGGCCTATCATCCCTTTGAATTAACCGTCGCTAACCCAGCAAACAACACAGGGTTCTCTCCCCACAGCCTGGAATCACCTGCCTCTTTCCTCCTCATCCTGTTTTCGTCTTGCAGTGAAATGGCAGGTAGGGCGTGACACTTGTTAAAAGCGACAATGAATAGGTCTTCCCAACTCTTCCCTTTGTCATGAAATAACTGTCACCTGAGCTCCAACACAACTGAAAATTAGCCATAAGCTTTGGGGACCTTGGCTACTGCTTCATCAAAGGAATTTAATTACGAATTATCTAACTGAAGCCGGGGGACCGGACTGTGCAATCACTCTTGACCCCTTTCTGTCCTAATGGTCAGCATCTAAATTTTCAAATGCTGGGATGAAATCTTTTGGAAGAAACTTAAGCACGGAACGTCGCAGAAAGTAGTACACTCCTCTCAGTTCTGAAGATTGGTGTGAACTGAGTGCAGGTCACAGGGTTGGCGGGAGTGGAGGGGCGAACACATTTTGCTGGGTGTGTTCTGTTGGTCTAAGGGCTGGAGATACAGTGAGCAAAACAAACCTCATCTTTACGCACACACACATGCACGTGCTCACACACACGTACCCCAAATGCTCAAGAGAGATAAAAATCGGAATAAAGTAAAGAAGAGTGATGGCAGGAGGGGTACTTCAGATACAGCTGTAGGGGGGAGTCTCTCTCAGGAGGCGACACTACAGCAGAGGCTTCAATGAAGGCGAAGAAACTGTCAAGTTCTGGAAGGATGTTCCAGGCTGGAGAACAGTGATGCACAAAAGCCCTGAGCAGGAGAGTGTTTGTGCGAGCAGCCCGAAGGCCTGTGTGATGGGGCTGGGGGGCAGGACGTGAAGTTGCCAAGGGGCCCGGTGCTTTGAGGCTTTCTGGTGAGCAGTCTGCGTTTCATGCTGGGTGTGTTGGGAGCCCTTTGGAAGGTGGGTAAACAGTTGTGATATGACTGAATTTCTAGTTAAAGAGATCGTGCTGGGGGAGGGTACAGCTCAGCGGTAGAGCGCGTGCTTAGCATGCACGAGGTCATGGGTTCAATCCCCAGGACCTCCGTTAAAAAGCAAAGCGGCAGAGAGATTGCTCTGCTGCTTCGGGAGGAGTGAACCTGTAGGAGGGCAAGGTTGGAAACTGACTGGAAACGTCAGTCGGGAGCCGCCAGGTGACAGCGGACGGTGACTCGGACGAGGGCGGCCGCGGGTGTGGTGAGAGGAGGTCAGGTCTGTGGCGCAATCCGGAGTTAGAGCCAGGGACTGTGGAGCCGAGGATGACTTGAGGGAGAGAGACAGCGCGGTGGTCGCCCGTCTCCCACGCGCTGGGCTGGGAGAACAGAAGCATTTGCCGAGATGGGAGAGGCTGGGAGAGGAGCGGTCGGGGCCAGGTCGCGGGCATCGGGAGCCGTGTTGTCAACGCTTCTAGTCTGAGAGGCGTGTTAGGCAACCAGGCGAAGGCGCTGAGTGGGCAGCTGGGTATCTGCGTCTGGTATTTGGGGGAAAGGCTGAGCCGGAGATAAAAATTGGAGAATCATTAGTGCGGAGATCATACTTGAAGCCATGGGCTTAGATGATTTATTGGGAGCGAGGGTGGGAGGAAGACACCCGTGCCGGGGTCGCCGTGGGCGGGATGGAGAAGGCAGGCTTTCCCTCCGCGCGACGTCTCGGGAGCGAGCCTCCCGCGAGCGCTGCCTCCTCTGCGTCTCCACGCGGGTCCCGGGGGCGGCGCGTGTGTCGAGGATGGAGGAGCCTTTCTAAGTCTGGGGTTCAGTGTTAGGAGGTCCCCTTGTCCATTTGCTCTAATAGACATTTCTGGGTGGATTATGTAATAATTTCCGAAGTTATCTCTCCGGCCGCCCCTGAGGTCTGCTCTCCTGCAGGTCCCCTCTCCCTAGTCAGGGTGATACTTCAAACAGGCGAATGTCACACCCTGCTTGTAACCTTTCTCCAGCCCTGCTGCGTTCTTGGGCTTAATCCCAGTGTCTTCAACGTGGCTTATACATCCTTCATGGTGGGATCCCATGCACCTTCCTCTCTCCTGCTGCTCTGCTGTGACCCTCCTGTTCCGTCCATGAGGCACTTCCCGTTCCCTTTCTGTTTCACGCCTCCTCTTTCTTCCAGGCCTTCGCAGGTGCTGTTCCTTCTGGCTGGAATATTTCCCCTCACCTTTCTCCTTTGCACCTTTATGCCCTCCACCCTCCTCATTTATTAGGTCGTTCCTGCTCATTCTTTAGACCTGGCTTGTGGTTATTTCTTTGTCAGGACTTCCCAGATTTTAGCTGCCTTCCTGTCTCTGTGGGCAATGGATCAGTGTCCCGGCTGGAAATCTCATGACATTTTATCATCTGAATTGTAACTTCTCACTTGTGTATCTCCCCTACTAGATTGATACATAATGTTTATCCTTGTGGCTGCAATTATAGTGTCTTGTTTTTGACAGTCTATGGTAACACAAGAAGGATTCTGGAATTCTTAATTACCTGGGGGAATACATGACAAAAATAATGCAACTGTAAGGCAAGACTGGTAGACATTCAATAAGTACTAGTACAAGTAAAATATCCTTTATCTGTGATCATTCAGTGTCATGTTACTCTCAAACCTTATGCGCTGATAGATTTTTTCCTCTAATTTTATTAACAAGAAAAATACAGCTTTTTTGTTAGTGCTGGTCCCATATTGGGAAGATTATGAAGAAAAATTAAAGTCACAGTTTTCTCTCAATTTTCTGTATATTTTGTTGTATTTGTCTGTCTCTGAGGGGAATTCTGACTGGAGAGTTGTGGATATTTGCTTGAGAATCTGTGATGCAAAGATCCCAGCATCCCAGCTGAATGTAGAACTGATGGGCTTCTGGCTGAGCCGTCATCTTGTCTGCCTTTCATGTTTCATGTTATTAAGTGGTGATTGCCCATTCGCCTCTGCCTCTGTACTGTGAAGTGTCAGGTGGTCAGTACTAAAATTACACCAAGCCAACCCCAAGCGTCCAGCACCAGGTCCTTATTAGGCTAATAACAGATCCGTGAGAGATTAGAAGGGGTCAGTATGCCCTTCTGGCGTGGCTCTTGTACGCTGTACCCTACTTAGTGGAAAAACAAAATCATTAAAATATAGTTATGCGCAAATTAGTCATTCAACCGCATTGTAAACACTTGCCTCATTTAACTAGGCTTGGGTGGCTGTGCTCGCTCAAGCTATGCTGATGAACGTGGCAAAGGATTTGGGGATGATTTAAAAATCACCAATAGTCATGTGCTCATAATTTTATCTTTCTTTATAATACGGTAGGAAGGGAATCAACAGTAAAATAAATGCGGTCAGGCGCAGTCCAGCTCTACTCCTGGGTCAGCGCTGACCACCCGGACAGCGCCCAGAGGCGCTCCACTCCTCCGTCACCCTCCTGCTCTAAGGGGAAAGACATGTCAGTCATACGGAAAGTGAATTGGATTCAGGCATAGTGAGGCTTTACAGGTGTTGAATTTCCCATAAATGTGACATTCCAAGAAGAGACCATTACCAACAGATCAGAACTTTTATTTGTAGTATTTGTATTTTAGTTGGACGCTGGCTTTTTTGGGGGGGTAGTTTTTTGGCTCCTTTCAGTCAATGGTCAGTTCATTGATGCTGTTCACTCATTCATTCCTTCGTTGAACTTGTCTTCATCCAGTGTGTGTCAGGGACAGTGCAGCTGGGGTTTCGCAGATGGTAACACACAACGTGTGACGTCAAGGGGGGTGGACGCTCTCTGCATCTGTGTGTCTGTGGGGCTCGCTTCTCTCTGAGGGACCCAAGTCATGTTCCCTAGTCTCCATCCAAGGAGGACCTTTGTCCGGGTGTCTCCCTCTGGAGCCCTCTGGACGTGGTAGGGGGCGTGGCAGGAGTGTGGTAGGAGGTGGCGGGGTGTGGTCAGAGTGTGATAGGCGTGGTCAGGGGCATGGTATGGGGCGTGGTAGAGGAACACCCAAGGCATCTCTGGCTGCTCTGATTCCCAAGCTTTCCCTTTAAAAAATTCAGAGGACTCCATGTCTGGCCCTGGGTTATCATTTCTCCTGAAATAAATACTGCAGTTACACTTAGGTTTCTACTGATATTTTCCTTATTTTAGACGCCTCACTGACGCAGTACATTTGTTGCTGAGCAATGGCAAGGAATACCGTCATCATGATTGCTACCATCTGCAGAAAATGCAGAGAGGAAGGAGCGCACTGCGGGGCTGGAGATTCAGAGTCTCTCCCCCAACCCACAGGGGCTCGTGTTGGGGCACTGCCTCTAAACGGGTCCAACCCACATGCCAACAGGATAGACAGATTTCTCTGGGCTTTTAAAGTTTTGTTTTGTTTTGTGACTTAAAGGTTTTTTTTTTCCTTTTCCTTTTTCTCCTGGGAATAGAAATATGTTTTTTCATTTTACAGGCAAACCACTTCAAGAGAATGTGGCTGGCAGCCATATGGTTATATATGAAGCCAACAATTAATTTAGCAAAGAAAACTGCTTGTCACAAGTTTTGAATTTGCCATCCCAGGTAGTCCTTTGATGATAAACGAGGAGATGATTGCCAAGAAAATGACAGTAACATTAATAAAAAGGTATGTTCCCTTTAGTCATTTAGTGATAGTCAAATTATTAGTTGCCATCTATTTGAAGTGAAGTCCTTGGCACTTGTAGGAGGTACTTAACACTTTTTATGTATAATTTTACAGCAAAAATATGGTGTTAATTTTCAAGCAGCTTACAGTCTAGTAAACTTCTGAATGAGGGTTTGTATTACCCTTATCTGGAACTTCTAGGTCTAGACTTTAGACTGGCATGGCTTCCAGAACTCGCTTTATGACTGTACTTCAGAACCAGTGCTTCTGGCCAAAGCTAGTTAGTGCGGAGTGGCTGAAAGGTGGAAAAAAACACAACAAAAGAAAACTCAAGTTAACTAAACACATTAGAATCTCATAAAGGGTGATTAGGAATTTGGGGGAACAGTTCAGACCAGTTTTTGTTCTATCTCGCAGATTGTCACCTCCCTGGATGGTTCCTCCAGCTCTGATGTTCATAGAAAATCAAAGCTTTTGCTGGTCCATCATCACTCTCCACACGCAGGGAGCACAGATGGTGTGTGGTTAGGATCCTGTGCCTTTATAATTCCTTGGCATCAGGATCAGATAAAAGGGGAAGCAAAAGTATCAGGGTATGGTGCGCCTTTTGTTTACATTCTACTGAAAGAGAGCCGCTTAACCTCTGCCTGGGGAAATGAAATGCTCCACAGCCATCCAGAGATGCGAGAACCTCACATTTTCACTTACACGAACACTGCGGTGAGTATTCCCTCTGCAGAAATCCTTAACAGTCTGTTTTGGTTTAATTTTATCAGCTCTTTTCAGTAAGGTTACTACTGAAGCACTTAGATATTTATTGCATGTATCATAAAAATATCGTTTGAATCTCTGAACCGAAACTTGTGGTCACAATTCAAATGAATAGGATATGACAAATATAGTGATGCTGGGAGAACCACCCACAACATATCGACAAGTCTGATGCGTGGAAGGAGGGATAAACACATCCTCAGACTATTTTATGAGCAGAGGTAAAAGGGAGTCCTTGCCCTCCCCTTCTCTGTATGAAAATGGAATTAGCAAATAAAGCTTTTTTTTTAAATCACTAAAATATATATGTAATGCTATTGCAGATTTCCAATTATGAAGCATGACAACAATTGCAGCCAGTAAACTCACACAATCACGGGGTCAGAGGACAAGGATCAGAAAATTGTCCCAGCATTGCTTCCTTCTGAGACAATGTTCACATGCACACCAGTCACGCACAGGGGTACAGGTGCTAGAAAGGGTTAAATGATGAGATGGCTGTGCTTTCAAAGCTGCTCCCCACGATTCTCTTGGCCGCCACACAGTTTGGCATGGTGCGACTCTTTCAGCATGTACGAGTCTTGACATGACCCAGGACATTTACCAAAACATTTGTACGGTTCTATTTAGGCTGGCACCCAGTCTTCCAGGGCGTTCACAAAACAGAGCGAAGTCCTTAGAGGATACCAAAAATGAGCCATTTATCTCAAAGGAGAGAAGCTTAGGGAAATTTTAGAAAAGGATTAAAATTTACAGGAAATATTAGTCTCATTTCTCTGCAAAAACCTGTTTAACACTCACTGTTTCATCCTGGACTGTGAATTCAGACTCGGGGAAAAGTAGTCAGACTTTATACTTCAAAACATAATCACTTTTTGTGGCTACAGGAGAATTACTGTCATGGGAGGAATTTCTGATATGGAAGAAAATCACCTACCATTGTGATTTCTTACTCAGATTGAGGAGATACCCAAATGTAGGCTCTGTTCTTGACCTGTATTTGGTTCAAGCTGTTCAATTCTCTTATGACTATCTTCTTGTATAAAATGAAAAAAAGTAATAATTTCAACCCATCTTTTGGGGCTCTTATAAAAATTAAGAAAATAAAAAGTAGAAAAAATCAATCTTAGTTAGTATTTGTTTTGAGAGGCTGGCAGAGCAAAGTGTGATACCAACACTGTATCCAGTTCCAGCTCAAATTCTTCAGCAGATGGGATCTAATTTTAAATAATACTCCTGGACTTGTTACATCCTAGTAGGAATTTATATTGAAGTGGATTAGAAGAATACATTTTATAAGGATAGAGAAACATCCTTCACATACCATCGGAGGGATCTGTCTAAAATGCAAAATTTATCATTTTACTTCAGGGCTAAACATTCCTCAGTAATTTCTCCATCATGTTCAAGACAAACTCAGTACTGGACGATGCCGTTCTGATGATCCTTTTCCAGCTTTGGCCACCATCATCCAGTTAGGTACCCTGCACTTCACTTATACCCAGCTACCTAGGGCTCCCCAAGTGCACCAAACTCTCGCAAGACTTCCTGTCTTCTCATGTGTTGTTCCCTCTGCTTGATGTACCATGTCCTCAGCATCTACTGTCACCAACCCCGTGACCTTCTTTTCACCCTTCAAAACTCAGCTTACATCATGTCCTGACCTTCCTATGGCCTGAAAGAAAGCTGTATTTGTTGTCTGTCTGTCTCCCAGATACACCGTGGGCTCCTGAAATGCAGATTCCCTATTCCGTATACCTTTGTATCTCTACATTCTAGCTTAGGTTTGCTGATTGAACAAATGAATAAAAGGATGAAAGCCTGGTGTGGTTTTGCAGGGTCACTCTGCAAGCATCTGGAGTGAGGTACTAATAACAAATTTAAACCCCTCCACTCTTCTAAGGATAGGAACCAGTTGAGAGATGGATCAAAAGATGGAGCTGAGAACCAGACACTTGAAGGTCAAGGTGATGGCTTTGTTGCTGACAAAGGCTGGGTTTGATGGTGTAGGTACATGGTAATAATGGGTTTCCTAATAGAACCCAAGCATGAGACACCATATCTTCTCAGCTAAGGCAGTTCTGGACAACCACTGGCCACCTTCCTGTTTAGGTACGCAATCTCCACCATTAAGTTTACGGCATGACCAAGAATACAGCAGAACACAAGCATATGGTCAGATCTCAAAGACGAAGAGGGGCAATGCTGATCCAGACCTGCCTACCTTTTGTTCCAAACCCATCCATCAGTGAATTCAACCTCTCTCCCTTGGGAAAGAATGAGTGTAAAGGCAGAGCGGCCAGAAGTGTTGCTTGAGTGTATGTCCTTCTACATGGGAACATGAAATCAGGAGAAAGTAAGCTCCCCTCCTCTACCTTCTTCTAGTGCTACTAAAGCATATGTTCCTTCTCTGTCAGTGGCATCACTCCTTCCGCAGCTGTCCAAGGATACGAAGAGACACTGTTCTCGTCCATAGCTCGTCTTCCCCAAAGAGCAGTTGGCCATGACACTCCAGACTGTAGTCTCTAATTGTTGGCATCTTATCTTTTAATTTTTTAAGTATAAGAGAAATACCTGATTACTTTGAAAATTACAAATAATGTAGATTATTCATTGTTTTAGTTGAGCTGGTAAAACATAACTTGTTGTTTTGATTCCATTTCCTCTATTACTTACAACGTTGAACATGATTTTTCATGGTTGCTAGTCTTTAGAACTTCTTCTTCTGCTAGTTCATAATTTGTGCCCACATTTCCTTGATAGTTTAGCTTTTTCATTGACTATGAATTTTAATTCTGTTCTTGCTGAATACGTTGCAAATATTTTCTCACAGAAGTGTCTTTCTTTTCACTTTGCTTAATAGTTAACATTTTACTCACAGATTTTAATGCCAACACTTTCACAGACTGAATTCCCACATAGTCATCCCTCTCTTTTGGGAGTTCCTACACTGTTCCATTGATCTATTTAACTATTCTTCATATTGCTTTAATTCTATAGTAGCGATCTGTAATAAAAAATAATCTCTAATACTTACTGAATCTTTAATATATTCCTGGCACCATTCTACCAGTCTTTCCAACTACCATGTGTGGTAGTCAATATTGGTATCTCCATTTTACTCATTTGGAAACTGAGGTCCAAAGAGGTTAAGGAGCTTGCCCAGGTTTACTGAGCTAGTAAACAGCTGAGCTAGGATAGAACTCCAACCTGGTCTACCCATGGTCAGTGTTAAGCTCTGTACCATAAGCACTTTCCATGGGTTAATGGGATGTTTGACACATGGTATAGCAAGTTGTCCTTCAGGACGGCTCTATTTTACAACTTACTTATGCATTTCCTCTAATGAGTAAGTTTTATTATCATCTTGTTAGTTTTCATAACAAATTCTGTTGGGTTTTCAATGATAACTGTCTTGAAATTTTAGATTATCTGGAGAAAGAGATGTCACTGTTATGGGCTGAGCCGTACTCTCCCCTCAAAAATCGTATGCTGAAGTCCTAACCCCTAGTGCCTTAGAATGTGGCTGTATTCAGAGGTAGAGCTTTTGAGGAGGTAATTAATTTAAAATGAGATCAGCAGAGGGGCACTAACCTAACATAACTGGTGAGGAGATTCGAAGTAGGAAGATTCAGAGGGAAGACCGTACAAAGACCAAGGAGAGAGGCCTCAGACGAAACTAATGCTCTGACCCCTTAATTTTGGACTTCTAGCATCTGTAACTGTGAGATAAATAAATCTCTGTTGTTTAAGTTGTCCAGCCTGCAGTTCCTTGTTCGGGCAGCTCCGGCTTGCTCACATAATCACTGTCATAATTCACTGCCCTCTCACCTAGGAAAATATTATGCCTTTTAATTTATTCAGCCCCTTTGTTTGGTTCTCCAGTTAAGATAAGTGTTTTCTTCAAGAATGCATTAATATGTTAGTCTCGTCCCTATTCATTTTGCTGCTTTCTGTTACTCCAGTAAACTGGATATTTTTCCATTGTATTTATATACATTGTATTATGTATATATATTGATTTTTATATATTAACATTTTATCTGGCTACCTTAGTAGGCTCTTATAGTCATTTCTCAGTTATCTTGGTGTTTTCAGGCAGGCAAACACGTAATATGCAAATAGGGCAGCTTTGTTTTGATTCCTGATTTCCGGCGTACAGATTTCACTTTTCTTGTTTTATTGCATTGGTTGGAATGTTTCAAAATAAGCTTGAATAATAGTGATGA